AGGCCTGTTGTCGAAAATTGCGAAAAAATCGATGAATTGGTCGAAAGAGACCGGCATAGTAGCAGCCGTAGCATCGGTCAAGAGGTGGGCATGAGTCATCAAACCGTTATAAAAAAAAAAAAAAAATACCGCAAGACTTTTTTGACAAAGATCTTATATTACAAGCTCTTATATTACAAACATCAGGAATTTCGAATATGCGGTTGAGTTTACTCGATATGATTGGTGATATTTTTTGTGGAGTACTTTGTGGTATTGGTAAAAAAATATGTATTCGGGTCCCTACTTCCATATACCTCACATAAGGATTTTCGTATTTTAATAAACCTTATGAAGAGTAAGTTGATCAACGTGTGAGTTGTATATTAAAAAATCCCTAAAAATTCGTTGTCGAGTATACTGGAACAATGTTCAAATTAATGCAATCAGCCCGTCCCTTCCTCTGCCCCCGAAACAAACATATATCCGTTTTTCCACCTGACTTTGAACTGTAATATTTTAATACAACTAAATGAACAAGTTTTCTTAAAAATTATGTGGTTTAACGTTGAATTGGAATAGTTCAAAATTTCCTCTAAATTAAAATTAGTCTCTTCGGTTAAGTTGATATCACGTGATTGTAATTTATTCGCGATTTTTTCAAATAACGAATATTGAATTCTATCGCAGGTTTTTAATATAAAGTTTTACCAGCTGCTGATGATATTTCCCGGGATTTGATTCTTGCAAATTGCATGAGTATAAAATGTTCGGTTGCACCCGAGCTTATCCCCTTTTTTTTACTTGTTTACTATTATTATATAAATTAGGTAATTAGTAAAATAATATGTATTTATTTTTTGATTTAGAAAAGCTTGGAATTCAATTTACGCACCTCAGTGGAGCTAGATGCTAAATGGACTTTATGGCAAACAGGCGTTTCTTTGTACATAGGAACAATTCTCCTTTTTAAAATATGGGAAGTCCCATTTACTGCCACTGCTACAACTCATTTATTTCGAAATTCTACACATCGTTTTAAACTGAAATTAGATGGTGTGTGGAGCGATATAAATTTATCGTCTTCAAGTATATTGGAGTTATATTTTCCACTATTTAATATTGATGTTTACAAGCAAACATCATCTGACGATACAGTATTAGTTACACAAATTGAACCAAATATGTCAGTGGTTGCAAAATTATTGGCGCTTGTTGTAGATCATATAGACTTATTACTTGAAGATTGGTATCCAGCGCTGGGTACACGATTTGTTCATACATCAGAAGGACGATTTTTAATTACTCGCCTCGCTTTATGTCCAAAATGCGTACAAAAACTAGTGAGTGACAACTGTAGACAAGCCAATTATGCTGTTGGGAGTGGTGGTGTTTCTGAAGAGAGTTATAATGCCAACAAAAATAAGTTTTGTAATCAACGTATTCTGAAATTGAATGAAAGTTCTGATGAAAGTAGAATGAATTTGTTCTCACCATATGTTAATACTACGGAGCGGTGTGAACGAGCATCAGAAGTGAGTTTTTTTCTTTTTCTTTTTTGATATTTGAGAACCTGAACAGAGCATATTAATTTTGCGCCTACGGAAGTCAACTTGCTTGCTGTGATCATTTCGTGTATTAATTTTAAAAATGCTTTGTCATTTTGTGCTGGTTGAAGCCAGACATAGCCAAATGAGCTTAGGAAAGCGTGCAAGTTGAATCAATCTAGACGTATCTTTTTTTTTATTTGACAAGATATCTTTAACAAGTACAAAGTCCCACAACCAATGTTCAAAATAGGATTGATGCCAATTTCTACCCAACTAAAGGAAAACGAAATACACCAGATTTCCAATTTAAAATATCTACTCCATCGAAGAATCACCGTTGAAGAACCACATAAGAAAAATGGTCCAGTACAATGTATAAACTGCCAAGAGTACGGAAACGAAAGCATATTGCACCCTACGCAGTGTCGTGTGTGGTGATCTATATACATCCTACAAATGTAGTAATTGTGGGGAAAATTACACTGCAAACTACAGGGGTTGCCCTGTATATAAAAACTTAAAAACGAAATTGTCTGTCGGAATTCAAGCACGTCTTAACCAGATGTTACAAACCCCTGTAATGAAATTATATTAATCTCTGATAAAAGTTCAAATCCTTTTACTTTTAAGAATAATACTATGCAGAAGCTGTGCAAATGTAGTGGAAGCAACACTGAACAAATGCAATTGACGCAAAGTCCTACAAATGGAGGTACTGAAAATATGATTTTAAATCTTACGCAATGTATGACACAATTTATGTCTACCGTGCAAAACATGATCCAAGATTTGATAAAATCACAAAATCAAATGCTGCAAGAGATGAGCGTACTAAATATCTGTAAATGGAATGTATATGGAATGGTGTTAACCAACATAAACTTGGGATTATTAGATTTCTGTCTGAAAAAAAGGAAGATAATAATTTCAATATATCGGGATTTAGACTCTATGTACAAATCGTCCGGTTGGAAAAGCACGCGTTGGTTAGAAATTGATTAAATCACTACGCAGAGATACAAGCTACAACAACATCCTTAAAAAATCGGAGTTGTGACTTAAACCTTAGGGCTATATACTGTCCACCTCTTTTTAAAATTACAGATAGCGAATTTAAAGACTTTTTTGAAACGATAGATCAAAGGTTTCTTGCAGGTGGAGGTTACAATGCAAAACACACGTACTGGGGCTCACGCCTTATTAACAAGCATAATTGTCGGCTACTCGCTCAGTGATAGAAAAAAAAAAAATACCAGACTGTAGATTTTGCTGTATTCAAAATATAGATAGATCGCTTATGACAGCTGATACATGCACAGACTTATCATTATTCTCTTGTACTAATAAAGTTATACGAGCATCCCATGATATTTGAGCCAAAAGTTTCCCTAACATCTCATAAAACTAACTGGTTGAAGTATATAAAATATATCAGCAGCCACAACAATATTGATTGAGTATAAGAAAATTTAATGACGAAATAACTAAAGCAGCTGTATTGGCAACACCAAAAAGAAACAATAAACCAGTTGGTTTTAGAAAAATCATCAATAAGGAAGTAAAAAAAACTTGTAAATAACAAAAGGCGAGCTAGACGTGAATGGCAGTTAAGTTGCTCCCCTTCAACTCTGTTTCAACTGAAATCTGCTGTAAGTTAAAAAAAGCTTTTAAACGCCAGGAAGAACACAATACTTAAAATTATATAAAGAAGCTGTGTCCAAATTCTAGTAAGCAAAATTCCCTTTGGAAAGCTCAAAAGTCTTTAAAGCCACCAGTAGATTCCAACATGCCTCTAGGATAGTTGAATGGTAATTGGGCACGTGAGGAAAAGGCAAATTGCTTTGCAAATCACCTAGATCAAGTATTTCAACTTAAGTGCCCAAAGAACAACTTTGAGTTGCCAACTTTGTCTACTACCGCTAACGAGTAGTTTTTGTCTATTGCTATTTCTGAAGTTACTAGAATCATAAATGAGCTAAATCCGAAAAAGCATCAGGACCCGATAAAATTACTTCAGAAATGCTAATTGAGTTACCAAATATTGCTACAATGGTGCTCCCCTTGCCCTCCAATGCAATTCTTGGTTTCGGAGACTATCCGATTTCATGGAAAGAGTCGCAGATCATCCTGATAGATAAATCTGGAAAAGACTTAACACTACAGGCCAATAAGTTTACCCTGTATTTGTAAAATATTTGAAAAAGTGTTACTATCAAAGATGACTTTTTTCCTCCACAAAAAAACAAAAAAAAAATAAAATAAAATAATAATAACATGCTAAACATGGCTCTGTAGAGCAAGTAAATATAATTACCAACAAAATCAGGAAAGCATATGAGCATAGGGAGTACTGTTCAGCTTTTGCGGATGACAGAGCTCTATTAACCCGTAACAAATGCACCATCAGAGCATCAATAGTATTAAGCAGCACTAACTTTTGTCGAAGAATGGTTAGCTAATTGACGTATAAACATTAATGAGCAAAAATGTAAGCATGTTACATTCTCGCTAAGGCCAGAAACGTGTCGGAAAGTAAAAATAAACAATGTCATAGTACCCCAAGCGAATGAATTTACTCATCTTAGGATTCACCTGGCTCGAACGCTCACTTGGCGAAAACATATAGCGAATAAAATAACTTGCATGAAGTTAAGTGCAGCAAATTTATATTGGTTTTTAAACAAAAAAAAATATATATTCAAAAGATTTGGCAAAGTGACACACAATAGCATATAACTAGCTGCCTTTCAAACTGATCGATCAAAATCAAAATAAAGATTTTTATAAACAATTTTTTCTTATTTAGTAACCTTAATACGACATATAGGTCTAAATCAAACATTGTGGGCAAAGTAGCCAAACGTTTTAAATTGAATGTACATCATAGGTCTGTTACGTTTTCATATTTAGTTATATACATATATGTTCATAAAGACGCTAAAAGAAATGTGCCTGTGAAGGGTATTATAGCTTCGGCACAGCTGAAGTTAATGTTTTTTTTTGTAATTACACTAATCAACAAAATTTAAACTTTTTCTGCTACAAAAAAACTTATATGAATGTTTGAAACCCCCTAAAGAATAATATGTGAATGAAACTGACACGTCACGTTTTCTTGTGACATTAAAACATATATTTTCTTAGAAAGCACAAATATTTCGAGGTGTGTTCTTCCTGATAATTCAGTTTTTCTTCAAAGCTCTTATTACTTATCATTCCATATTTATGGACTTGCAAATATTGCCTGTTAAATTTTTGCCTTGCAGAGTTTCTTTGGTACAGTAAACGGTTTATGTCTGGGTTTTAGTTTAGTTCAACGTATTAACAGTGTAACATACGTTACACAACATTTATGTATGTGGAACCAAGTATTAATCGTGATTCCTAACAGGAAATCGAAAATAGTATAAATTGCACAGTTCAGTTACTGACGTGAGATTACGACGGTGATATTTAACCCTTTCGATCCGAAAAGCCTTTGAAGTAAATAAAACATATTTCGCATAATCAATATGCGTCCGACCATTCACTCTATTTTGGCAAATGAAACACCACGAATGCAAACAAATACAGTTAAGTTTAGTATAGGCTACGAAATGGGACCAATTTAAACCTTTTTAAAAACTTATTTTCTATGCTTAGTCCAGTAATTATAGTAAGTTCACCTCGGAATTCGAGATACCCAGTAGATACTACTACTGTACTGTAGGTTTTGAGCCAACTTTTAGGGTGTCAATATATAATATTTACAGACTTACAGCTGGGTATCTCGAATTCCGAGATTCTTACCTAATTTGAGCTTAAATGACTGGACTAGCTGTGTATCGTTGAAAATACACCGGGACACATACGTCCCGGTTCGGATAGAAAGGCTTAAAAGTTAATTCTTCGAACGTTTGCATTACGGATGTTAGTCGAATGCAATATTTATACAGTCGTATAAAAGAAGTTATTTAAAAAATACACGTATATGAGGTTCAATGAATATGTAGCTGTCACAATAAAACTGGACGCGATTGAAATCAAATTATTATAATTATTGTTGAGGGTATGGCAACATAAAAAAAATCATTAGAAAGTTTGTGTGACAAAAACGGTGTTGACCAGTGTTATCGGAGTTTCCAGTAATTTAATACACTATATAACTTGAATATTTTAAGGATTCTCTTTACCATTCGGATGCCGACTCAGGCGTGGGACCTGATTCTACATGTTCCTCTCGGAATACATCTATTGACGGGCATCCTATTTATAATCTGCAGGAAGAAATAAGTGTGTGTTATTGTTGGATGGTAGAGGAATGTATTCTTTCTGTATATAATGAGACAAAGATCGTTTGCCCCGTTCACTTGGATATGCAAATAAATTGGTTGGCTCCCGATGTAGTATTTGCTGATATACCTGAACGTTACAGCATAAATTCGGATGATATTATTAAAGGTACTCTTCTAGGCCGCGGAGCATTCGGTTTTGTATTCAAAGCAACTTGCAAATTAAAATCTGCACGTAACTTTAAAGCTGTAGCTATGAAAATGTTGCAGCCGGTACCACCAGGACCCAGGGCCAAAGAGGTTATTTCTTTTTATTAATATATAATATTTACATCTTGCAAAGTAATTCGAATGCAATTTTTTTGATAATTATCAATTTTATTTTTGGTTTTCAGAGCGCTTTAATGGCATACAAAATTGCTTTGGGAAAATGGGATCGTGATCCCCTTCAACATTCTTGCAAGGCTTACTGTACTGCACGACAAGAATTAGCTGTACTTCTTACTTTAAAACATCAAAATATTGTTCCCTTGGTGGGTATTTGCATAAGGCCTTTGGCTTTGGTGTTAGAGCTTGCCCCAATGGGTGGTCTTGATTTGATTTTACGCCAGTACCGACGAAGAGGTGCACATGTTGGACCGCACACGTTCCAGATATTGGTTTTGCAAGCTGCACGTGCCATTGAATACTTGCACAGACGACGCATAATTTATCGAGATTTAAAGTCAGAAAATGTGCTTGTTTGGGATTTTCCAGATCCACATAGGTAAGCTGATAGAGAAACGAATTAAAAATAAACTCTTGGTTTAGAGACATTGTTTTGCAAGGGAGCCGCAAAGGTTCGTTCTGCTTATTGATCATGTCCATGTTCCTATAACCATGTCCATCCGTCCATTGGCCCATGACAAGAATAACAAAAAAAATTAAATTATGACTTAATTTTTGTAACTATGTCAATTGCACTGAAAACAAGTTACGGAGAGTATTAGAAGAAAATAAAAAAAATTGGAAACCACAAGGAATAATAGAATAGAAAGAAATTACTCGAATGAAAATACAAATGAATAAATTAATGTAAGTAATTTTCATCTTTTTCAACGTCTGAGACTCTTTAAATTATGTATATATATATGGTCACATAAGCATTAATTATATTGAAAGTTTATTAAAGTGAAAAATGCATTTAATGAGCAAGTAATATGTTGCTCAAATATTTCGTTATATTTCGTTTTTTGTTCACCATTCTCAATGCTGATATAGAGTGAACACAGATAGCTTTGCAGAAGTAGTGCTCGCGTAGTTTTTAATGTGTTGTTGAAAAATAACTAGTTAAAGGTATTTCAACGTAAGAAATATGATAAAATCGGATCCGGAAATCATACCACGATAGTGTATATACATACGTAGTTCATAGTAATTTAGTATAGGATAGCGAATAATTTGGAATATCTATATAAAAAAGCAAAAAGTGATCGAAATTGCTAAACTAATGCAAAATTCTCGTATAAACTATCCAACATAATTAAATCATGTGTGGCGAATCCCCATGGTGGTGGATGGTTAATGTTTTAAATGAAAAAAAGGATATATTTGTGTTTTTTGCAGCGACATGAGTTATATAATTTTATTAAATTTAATGACTTGTTATTGTACAACTTTTAAAGCATATTAGAAAAATTTTTCAATGAAAGATATTAATAAATAAGTGACGGTGAATCTCCAGAAGCGCCTTGAAAAAAAGTGGAACATTATAACTCGTTACCGGATCATCTGAAACATAAAAATGGATATGCATTTTAAAGGTGATGTATTTCTCGAGGTAATCAGAAAGAGTTAATTTTTTATTTTTTTGCAGCATTTGGAGTAAAATGCGCGATTTTAGCTCAAAAAATCGCGGTTAATTTGTTAATAAAAAATAGAAAAAATGGAAGAAAACTGATTATCTGTTGATTTATGTAAAGAAGTAATGTTCAAATTTTCAAAAGGGTCGGTTCATTAGATTTTGAGTTCTGATGTTCACGAACTTAAAAATAACAAGTAAGGAAGGGCTAAGTTCGGGTGTCACCGAACATTTTATACTCTCGCATGATAAAGTGATAATCGAGATTTCAGGCGTGGTTGTGAACCGATTTCACCCATATTTGGCACATGTCATCACGGTGTTAAGAAAATATTATATACCGAATTTCATTGAAATCGGTHGAGTACTTCCTGAGATATGGTTTTTGGTCCATAAGTGGGCGACGCCACGCCCATTTTAAATTTTTAAAAAAACCTAGATGCAGCTTCCTTCTGACATTTCTTCCGTAAAATTTAGTGTTTCTGACGTTTTATGTTAGTRGGTTAACGYACTTTTAGTGATTTTCAACATAACCTTTGTATGGGAGGTGGGCGTGGTTATTGTCCGACTTCTTCCATTTTTGAACTGTATATGGAAATGCCTAAAAGAAACGACTCTATACAGTTTGGTTGACATAGCTATAGTAGTTTTCGAGATATGTACAAAAAAGTTAGTAGGGGCCGGGGCCACGCCCACTTTTCTAAAAAAAATTACGTCCAAATATGCCCCTCCCTAGTGCGATCCTTTGTGCCAAATTTCATTTTAATATCTTTATTTACGTCTTAGTTATGACATTTTATAGGTTTTCGGTTTCCGCCATTTTTGGGCGTGGCAGTGGGCCAATTTGCCCATCTTCGAACTTAACCTTCTTGTGGAGTCAAGAAATACGTGTAACAAGTTTCATCATGATATCTCAATTTTTACTCAAGTTACAGCTTGCACGGACAGACGGACGGACGGACAGACAGACATCCGGATTTCAAATCTACTCGTCACCCTGATCACTTTGGTATATATAACCCTATATCTGACTCTTTTAGTTTTAGGACTTACAAACAACCGTTATGTGAACAAAACTATAATACTCTCTTTAGCAACTTTGTTGCGAGAGTATAAAAATATCACTGCCGGTCGTGTAAAACGCTGTAACTCCGTTAGTTTGACTACAATTGACTCTAATTAACTATTTATACACAATATTCACGACATATTGTTCGTTTGGAAAAAAAATTAAAAATAAATTCTAATTTTTTAATTAATGCGATTAGACCAGATGACAGAATACTTGTCCATCGTCCTCACTGGCAAGAAAATAATCCTAAGTTAACTCAGAAGACGCTAACGCTGCTTTAAAAATATTAAGGTTTCGGGCAGAAAACCCTCAAACTTCTTGTACGTACATTAAAAACAATGTGGCACAAAAAAATGTATGATTTATATGTCCATAGCTGTATATACATATGATCAACGTGATAAGTTGTGTGAATTTTGCCATGTCCGTATGTCTATCTGCCTGTACAAACGCTAAAATTTTACTCACGAGCTTTTCCCCCCAAATAATTGATTCATTTGTCGGAACCGCCGATATCGGATCACTATAGCATAGCTGTCACGGAACTATCAAAATGAAGCCCTTGTATGAAAAGCGTTTTTGTTTTTTAAAGATATCTTCTCGAACTTTGCCATAGATTATTTTCTAAAGCGGCGCTACAATATCTTAAGAATATATATTATATATACTATATCATATAGCTATCATGCTTACTGAACGATCAAAATCACGTTTTTTTGTGGAAAGTTCTCTATATGTGAAGTACTAACTTCTGTGAAACCGAAGATAACATTTTTTTTTTTTATTAATAGTGAAGACACACCGCGGAATACTGTTCATATAAAGATTGCTGACTATGGTATAAGCCGTCAAACAGCTCCAAATGGATCGAAGGGTTTCGGTGGTACTGAGGGTTTTATGGCACCTGAAATTATACGTTACAATGGTGAAGAGGAGTATACTGAAAAGGTGGAGTTTGTATACAATCATATTATGAAAACAGTTCAAAATTGTTAAATTTTTCTGCAGGTCGACTGCTTTTCATTTGGAATGTTTATTTACGAGATTATTAGCTTACGTCAACCTTTTGAAGGCTACGAGTCTATAAAGGAATGCATACTGGAAGGTAGTCGTCCACCTCTTACTCAGCGAGAAACGCAATTTCCCACGTATTGTCTTGATCTTATGGTTCTCTGTTGGGATGAATTGCCAAAAAGACGTCCATCAGCTAGTCAAATTGTATCAATACTTAGTGCTCCTGAGTGTATACACTTGTTGGATACAATATCTCTACCTCACAACGAAAAGGTGGTTTGCGGTATTTTTAATGTTTTTGCAACAAATGAGGGTTTGTAATTCTTTAAAATTATTCATAATCGTATTCTGAAGTTTTCGCTTTGACACAGATGGAACAACAGGTTTTGAGATTTGGCTTCCTTCCTACAATTCACGCATCGACATTGTAGATGTTTTGCCATCTGGTAATTTCTTACAGGGCAGTACTATATTTTGCGTGGATCGTATCCAAATGGATAATTCCCCTCGTTCAGATTTCAGCAATAGCTCAAAAAGTAGTCGTTCACGTTCCAATTCACGTCAGCATAAAATTAATATGATTTGTTGTTGTATTATTGAAGATTGTGTTTGGATCGGTGATACGATAGGAAATATACATTCCTACAGGTATGTTTTACATGATACTAGACCCACATCCACCTAATAAAATAAATTTATTTTTTTCTAGTATCAAAAGCTATGAGCACACTTTTACTTACATGTTGGATCCAGTTATTAAGTCTCCAGTTATAAGCCTAGTATATCTTCGTAACATTGAACGTGTTGCTATTGGTTTACACAATGGTCGCGTTTTTTTAGTAGACTCTACGAAAATACCAACAAATTGTGCATTTGCTGAAGGTACATTCGTACTTACTGAAATTTGTTCCGGTCTTATATTACATAGTGCATGTTCCGTGATTATTGATAAGTAAGTTATAGTCGAAATGCAAGCATACCAAGACGACACTAATTAGTATTGTCTTCTTAATTTTCAGTGAATATGAACTTTGGTGTGGTGAAATAGCCGGTAAAATTAATGTATTCCCGCTGAACAAGAGCGGAGTTTGTGGGCATCAGTCATTATGCCATAGTGATGAACCTAATATTATTGAAGATGTAAAAGTCGCACGTATGTTCGCAACAGATGACTTTGTGTTTTCTTGTCTTTATCCAGGTTTTATTGTATATCAATGGAATGTATATAATAAACGAATCGAAAATAAACTAGATTGCTCTAAACTCTTGCCTTGCTCGGAATCTTTGAAGAGCATAGCTATCGATGAGCATTTAAGTTTGGTTAAATGTCAGATATCAGCATTGGCTTCCCATAGTAATGAATTGTATATCGGTACAACGTGGGGTTGTCTCATAATCACCGAATTGAATACGCTGAGGCCGATTACCGTTTTTCGTCCATATGAAAACGAGGTAGTTGAAATTAACAATCAATTAATTAATTGAAAATAAATAAAGATTTCAATATATCATATATAAACATATATTCTGATTTAGTATATTACAGACATTTTTATGCATATATATTTATTTATTTATTGCAGATAAAAAGTATTATTACTGTGCCTCATCCAAATTTCCCATTAATAGCAACTATTGGTCGGCGCTATCGTTCTTTGATCGCACGATTTATGGATATAGACAACTCTCAGGAAGGAATCAAGCCTACAATTTATGAACAAGGGAGTGAAGTACGTTCGTCATTTCGGGATATTGATAACCATATTCATGTTATGTTGTGGAGAACTAACAACTGGGCATAGTTAAAAACTTAGTCAACATACTTATATAATTCCACAAAAACTCAAATATCTTTACTATATATATTTTATTTATACTCATCCTGTATACACATTGTAATACAAAGATGTAATATTTAGAAAATTATTTACGTTTTTAGTTATTTATTTTAGTTTAGTTATTGTTTAATTTATTCATTAAAATATAAATTATTATAAAAAAATTAATCCTTTAGTTATTTATGGTCTCGGGTAGATGATACAGATGGAATAGAATTGGACCCGCGAGAATACATTGAAGCAGTATTTTTAAGAACTCGCGTATAGCTATTAAAATCCAGCGCAAATTTTAATTCTTCTACAAATACTTCTCTTATGGACAACTGAAACGATCACAAAATCTTAAAAATTATTGTATTTTATGTTATTTTATTGAACTTACCTGATAATGTCTCGCCTTTGTGTGAATATAATAAAACCAAATAACTATTCCATAAACAAATGCCAGGGCACTTCCTACACCCAATACTATGTAAATACCTGATAAATTCTCCATTTTTAGCTCGGTGTCTTCACTACGTTGCTTACCGGACTAAATAAAAACGTAACCAACATAACAATTATAATCATACTAATATTATAAATGCGAATGTAAGTTTGTTTGTTACACTTTCACGCAAAAACTACTCAACAGATCATCATGAAACTTTGTACATATACTCCTGAAGGTATTAGAAGTAAAATAGGGTACTTTATATAAAAAAAAATTATGAAAGAAAAAAAAAATTGTTTGTAAAAAAATCGTAAAATTGAGCTACTTCAACGCCACTACAGTAATGAAATTTCAAACAAGAATACTGTAATACCGTCCCACTGCATTACCGGCGGTGACGATAATATCTAATTCAATTGAATTTACATAGTTTCAACTGTTTTTACTTTTTTTCTATTTATTGTTATTTTCTTCTGTCGTTAGATGCAGTATAAAACTATTCAAATTTTTGAGGTAATCAGTAATTTTTGTGGTTAGCTGTCAGTTTATTATTTTAGATCTTACTCGCTGATGTTAACTCTGCTATGTTAAGAAAATGTCTTGGCAGCGGAAATATGGTATATCCAAATCATACTCATACTAATATTATAAATGCAAAACTGAAGTTTCAACAATGAATACTGTAATACCGTCCCACTATATTACCGGTGGTGACGACAATGTATAATTCAATTGAATATACATATTATAGTTTGAACTGTAATTTTTCTATTTTTATTGTTATTTTCTTCTGTCGTTACATGCAGTATAAAACTATTAAAATTTTTTAGGTAATCCATAATTTTTGTGGTTAGCAGTCAAGTTATTATTTTAGATTTTACTCGCTGATGTTAATTATTAATATGGTTTTCTTAGAAAATGCCTCGGAAGCGGAAATCTGGTATATACAAAATTTCATTGCGGGCCCGTGCCGCGAAAATTGAACGAAATCAAGAAACTTCGGCTCACGCAGAGCTGAGAAGCCAACAACAAGCAGAGCGACAAAGAGTTTTGAGAACAGCTGAAACGCCTCTTCAGGCACGGAATCGTTTAGAAATACAAGTTGTACTGCAGAACACTAGAAGAGCGATAGAAACACCAGAACAATCGCAGACGCGCCGCCGAAATTTCATGCGTAATGATTGGGCTGTATTTAATGGTACTGGGTTTCAATATGATCCTTCAATTGAATATCATAATCATGCCTTGATTGTTATTGGCTCAATGAATAAAAAATGTCAGTACTGCGATGCTTTTAAATGGAAAGATGAAACTGCTGGAATGTGCTGCTCCGGTGGTAAAGTTTCACTTCCATTACTTGGTGAACCAAAAGAGCCTTTGAAAACGTTACTATTAAATGATACAGATGAGTCAAAGAAATTTATAAGCAAAATGAGAAAGTATAACTCTTGCTTTCAAATGACATCCTTTGGAGTTGATAAAGTGATAAGAATGTCCGGGTTTTCACCAACTTTTCTGTACAAGGACAGATATGTCATCAAATTGGATCACTATTTCCAGAAGATGATGATCAGAATAAATTTCTGCAGGTATACTTTATAGGTGAAGTAAATCGTCGTTGCCAATATATTTAAGGAGTAGAAAGAGAAACGGTATTGAAAATTCAACGAATATTACACAGTCACAATGTCTTGGTAAAAATCTTTAAAAGTGCGACAGACAACTGGCCTTCAGACAACTACAAAGTTGCTGATCGAACTCCACGAGGCGAACATGAAAGGCGTTATAATGCGCCGATGGTCAATGAAGTTGCTGTTTTGGTTACTGGTGACCCGAGCTCTCCACGAGACGTGGTACTACGGGCACATGACAATACGCTAAAACGTGTAGCCGGTACTCATAGATTATATGATGCTTTCTAGTACCCATTAATTTTCAGTAAAGGAGAATCTGGATATCATTTTAATATTCCAGTCATTAATCCAACAACGGGACAACAAATTCAAAATAACAAAGTTTCCTGCATGGACTTTTATGCGCACTCGTATTACAAAATATCCTAGATTAATACTATGTATTTTATTTTTTTAAATTGTTAGAATTAAGAATTATTTATTTTTGTTACGGTGAAATATATTTTAACATTTGTTGTTGCATTTCAATATGCATATTTTAAGGTGTTGAAACTTCATTACATGTAGTAATTTTTAAAAATTGTTGATCTCAGCCAAGCAATCAAATTTAGTTATCATTTTGTCTCATTTCTATTATTATACCCTTACCCTTTATCTCTAATATATATTTAATGGCTCCACTGCTAGTATTATATAATTTCATAGTGAAAAATCAGAAAGCGATGAGAATTAAAGTGACTATATTTGATTAAGTTTAAAAAAAAAAAAACAAAGATTTTGAAAATATTACTTGCTTTCTTTTCCCTGTTTCTAATATTAAAAATCACTGTTAATAATTTTATTATTATATTAAATTAGGGTTGAAATGAAATAAAAAGTGTCAATAGGTTGAGAAGATATTAAAGAAATCTTATATACATAGTAAAAAATATTCATATATCGATATACGATGTTAAAGATATGGTATGCTTAAGTTAGGAGAATGATACCTACATACATAGAATACTTTTGTCATTATGATAAGAAATTGATTCATACTCACAGAGCAAATACCGGCACCTACTTCATTCCACCATTTATTCTTCATCTTCTCTAATGTGCCCTGTTCTTGCAATTGAAGCAGTGCATTATTGAATTTGTCGCGGTAAGGCCAGTCTATAATTACATAAGCATTGTGAGCTTTGTTATAGATTATTTAGTTATTAAAGATGGCTGATTGTTACACTATTATTAAATAGTCAAAACTTTTGATTAGACGAAATATTATTTATTATATTCATATTATTTCCACATTTTCTTACTTTTTCTCATTGCTATACCATATCCTTTTTCATCCAATGCATTACCAATTTTACTCAAATTGCACATGCGCATTGTATGATATTCAATTGAAGTGGATTCCATCAAGAATGCATATCCTTTATCTACGCGATTGACACCTTCCGTGTTAGAATCTGTCAAATATTTAGGATTAGCATTCATGAATTCGTTCATTTTAATATAACGAGGATCCCCTGATTTCTAGAATAAAATGAATTGGTATTCTTCAAGTAGTACCTCATATTTTTTAACATTATATGATAATTACCTCGAAAAATTCTCTCGTCGAACCGATCTTTTTTGCACCGTATGCTACTTTTTCGGCAACGAGATCGTCTATGGAGTTAATAATACTAGTTGGCTCTTCAATAGTTAAAAAAGCGGCTAAATTTGCAGTGTAAGATGAAACCATAAGCAAAGTGAAAAACCACCAAATAGAAGCCACGGTGCGTGTGGAAATGGCTCTAAAAAGTAAAAAAAAAAATATTTTCAATTTATTTCACGTTAGGTTCCCTTATCTTATAATTATGTAATTTAGTGCAGTAATGAAGTAAGTTAATGCTAATTAAGGAATTTAGCCATTTTAACTTAAAATAGAATTCTGTATTTTACTTACTTTGGTTCCATTTCGGAACCTTGTTGCAGTAGAGCACCAGTAGTAAACCATAAAGAATTTCCTATAGTAAACTGATTTACTAATTCTGATGGTTCTTCAATGCAGGGATGAGGATTATCCCATTCTGAAGGCGAAAGACGTCCTAATATAAAAAAACTGAATGAAACAAAAAGAAAAGAAAGTCCCAAAAGCCACCAAACTCCTTGTGAAAACGGATCCATAAATGTAAAGAATGCTTGTGTGTCTTTTTGTGGCTCTACATGTATAATTGCTATACCTAATGATAGTACTATTATTATCGATTTTTGTTCGTTAGTGCTATAACTTTACCTAAGTTCATGAAGGGTATGGAGAAATCGACCACCTGTTGACGTGCTGCTGTTATTGTCAAATCTGTTATGGCTAAATCTGCTCTCTAGGAATAACAAATGTAAAACTTTAGTTAATATAAACATTATGTATACATGTTTAAAGAATATATCTATATATTTGTTTATACTTACCCCTTTAATAATTTCTTTTAACATTCCAGAAGTCGTATTTGTGGTAGTATTATAAGATCCGTAATCGTTACCTCCATCTTTTAAAATGAAATTAAAGCCAAGCTTCTGTGCTAACTCTTTTATAAGATCAACGCCATAACCTTCATATTGGCTATTTCCTTCTAGTTTTTCATAGCTTTCTACTAAGCTAGCATAGGGTTTGTTCTAATTTATTTTGAAAAATAAATATGGTCGTTCATATATTGTGTATGCTACAAATAATTAATGTTAATGATGTATTAGAACGTCATTTCCTCATTCGTATTATAAATACTATATATGTACTATTGTGAAGATATTTATTTTTAATAATTCGCGTGTTTTTCGAATCGGTAAATTTTCACAAAATTCTTCTATTTTTACTATGTCTGAATTTATTGAACAAAGAAGTGGGATAATGCACCATCTCACTCCGCATTGGTTATTCGTGATCATTTTGTCACATTTTCAACTAATATCGTGCCGCAACCACCGAATTTGCCTGATTTACCTTCGTGTACCTTCTGGCTATTCAGCAAATCCACATGACCACTCCGAGGGCACCGTTTTGTCTCAATTGAGAATTTAAAAGCTGAATCGAAGAGTACATGATGGCCATCACGATGAAAGATTTTTCCAAGTGCTATGATGGCTGGAAAATTCGTTGGCATTACTGTATTGCAGCGGGAGGGGACTACTTTGAAGGAGCTAATGAACAAAATTCACCTTTCAATTTGATCATGTTATAGTTGTCCGATTTTCTTTATTTTCACAGTCATTGTTAAGCATTTATTAGAAACAGTTCTGTAGAATTACATACTTTTAACTTTTTATTTAAAGGCCAGCAATTGGAAAAAAAACTTCATTATTCAGTTGTGTGGGACATGTGGTATATGTAGTTGTTCGATGTGAATATCAAAATGCACCCATGTATACAATTTCGCTTGGATATCTCAAGAACTGACACAGAAATTTCTTTAATCTACAAAAAAAAAAAAAAAAAAAAAAATAAACCATCTTATAACGTCTCTGCCTCGAGACCGATCTCAGACCCCTCAATTTTTACTCATTTAAATCATTTTGGAATAGTTTCATCATTGTTAACTGAAGCCTCCGATGAGAAAATCGACAAAACAATAACAATATCTTTGTCATGATCTAAAGTGTTGGGCATTATACATTCCCTTCCCTTAATTTAAATCCATATGTACATATAACAATTCGACATAACTCAAATCGCACTATAATACCTATGCTATGGCATAATAAACATAAACTCATTAACTTTTAAGTGAAAAAAAAGATAAATATCCAACTTACATCTTACTACCCTAATTAAATATTTGAAGTAAAATGAAATAAATAATTCAAATTATCTACATATTCTTATTAGCATAATTTAGAGTTCACTCATAGTTTAGGTTTAAACTATGATTAAACTAATTAGTTCGTTTTGTAGACAATGTTGTACTTATTTTGTTGTCCTTATTTTTAACGTTTTGGGTACACTGAAGGTATGTATATTTACCGGGACATTCAATAATACAACAAATGTTTTATTGGCCAGCGAATTGTCGACATTGTCGATTACAGAATTTGTTTGCGCCACACGCTGCATGGTTAGGTTTGAAATGTCGTCCCATGTTCCAATTTTTATAATTCCAGATGGTTGTAATTCAATTATATCTAAAGTAAAACCCTTCCGTACATTCCCATCAAAGTATATCGGTCCAGTTAACGTTCTTTTCTGAAGCTTTAGCTTTGGCAAAGAATATAAAAAAAAAATTTGGGTTAGAGGCATTGAATTATGAAGAGCTAGTGTTGATTCTTATATAATATTTGAGACTTCACATAATTGTGTAGGCAATAACATTATAATGAACAATTCAATCAAGTTTAGTCATTTCGTATTTATTATTGACTAGCGGACCCGTCGAAGCTTTACTGTGGCTCATACATAGATAGTATTACGAATATCATCTATACGATTTCTAGTCAACTCCTACCTTTAAACGATACGTATACAAATTTGGCAACTGAGGAACTATTAGATATAGCATTTTGGTGTTAATAAAGAATTTCTTTTTGGGAGAAAAATATTGTCGAATTTTGGCTCCGCACCAGGGAAATCAGGTACAGGGGTTGGCAGCAGCAAGGAGCACCGGTGGAACTTTTTTTGAAAAAGTGGGCGTGGCTCCGCCCAAAATATGTCTTTAGAGTGTGCCACCTTATGACCAAAAATTGTTTAAATCCAATAAAAACTGTTCAAGCCCCTAGGTACCGAGTATTTCGACCCCGGTACCTAAACTTGACTCTTGGTCGAAAATGTCTGTCAATGCGTGATATATATAACTGATGTAAGGGATAATCCTTCCGTTATAACGGTATGTCTGTAAGTCAAAAATTGGTTTAATCTGACCAATGCTTCCCTTAGCCCCCATATACTTAATATAAAGATTTTCGAAATTCGGGGTGACTTTGTACAGCAGATATTGGTCAATATGTGAGTTATCTCAATGCACCCGAACTTAGCCCTTCCTTACTTGTTCTTATTATTATTATTTTTTTTGAAAGTAATAAAATTTTCAAATGATTCTTACATGAATTATGATTTGAAATATAATTTTCTGAAACTTCTCTATATTATTCACTTTTAGCATAAAGAGATAAAAAGTATCCTATGTTTGTTGCCTGGTTCTACAGTACCTCCGCACCAATTTTCAGCCACCGATGTTCAGCCTTTCTTGAATTATAAATAGCGTAACTAACACGGTTATATATACAAATAGATTTTTCGAGCAAAATTTAAAAAAGTTCATATTATATATACATATGTAAATGTGTAATAGTAAAAATTATGATTGAATTCCTTCTCCCGAACCGTAAAGCGTAGAATAAATAAATAAATAAAGAGCCTTGATAAAGAAGCTGTAAGTAATTTGCTCGAAAATAGGAACAGTTTGACAGGCGACATTTCCTCAATCTTCTCTATAGAACGCCTACACTGTCTCGTGTAAACCGAAAGGGTAACACTGAAAGAAAGACGCCTGACAACCCGGAACAAAAATATATTTTCGTTATAACATAGGACAAACAAATACAAAAATAGGATAACATTTTAGACAAATACCGTTCTCATGTAATTTTTAAATGAAGAACCATCGTCCAGAACACTTTCACTGCGATCACTACAATTCAAAGGTACATTTCGTACTGTAAGATGTTTTGTAGTTTCCGCAAATAGTTGAACCGCGTCATATGTTAAAGCCATGGAAACAGTTATAGGACAAGATCCTATAATAAAAAAAGTATAATGTATTATAATATGAGTTATGCAATATTAAAAAAAACTCATTAGCAACTTACCATTTCTTAAATCTTCTAACGAAGATTTTTGGCCCATCTTCTCCATAATTTCCTGAATCGCTTTCTGTTCCGGGGAAAACAATCTAAAGCTTGTTATGTTCGCTTCTGTGTATTTATATTCTTCAAGATCAAACGCGTGGAAATCTAAATTTGCGATAATGTACTTATAGTCCTCATTCATAATGCCAACCTGCTGAGCCTAAAATTTTGAATTATATAGGTACTTATATAATATGAGAAAATTTTAAAGGTTGCCCTACAAAATATGCTTTTGTTTGTAAAATATTAAAAAAAAGAAAAATTTTAATTTTTAGTGGAGTATTATTCTATAAATTGTGATTTATGCACAATTCATAAGCGAGTAGTTGTATAAATTTCTTAAGTTAGCAATCAAAAAATGTGACATGTTTACATGGACCTTTTATCGAAATATATTTTGTACTTAAAACCAATTTAACTTTTGTATTTAAAAGTAAATATAAAAATTCTTTTTGGTGTAATTGTTTTTTACATGGACAGAACGTATAGAGTAAGTTTCATATCACACAATATCCATACACAATATACATACCTGTTTTAGAAATTCTGGCATTGTGTCAGAAGAGCCAGAAACGACAATGTGATTATCCCCTAATTTTTTCACCCGTCTCAAAACAGACTTATAATTGTTGTTCATCTCCATGTCATAACGTAAAACCGTTATTGTGGGGCTATTATTGCCATAATATGCTAGGAGTCCATTTAGTATATTAAGATACTCAACTTCACAGCGTCAAAAAAAAAAAAATATATATATTTATAAACTTCTGTTATTTTATTTTTTTATATACCATTCATTAATATAGGTATGAAATAAAGCTTCATGGTCTCTCAGAGAGTTTTAATATTCAATATTAGGTGCCTAATAAGACTAAAGGCTTTCTAAGTAAAAAATTATTTACAGAAGTAAGAAAAGGCAAAGTTCGGATTAGCTCGGACATTTTATACCTCCGCAATTTCCAAAATCTATGTGGCAATTTCTCCTAAAGCACGGTATCCGCGTCTCTCCTATTTAGATAAATTTATAACTCGTATGTTCAATTAAATTAATTGTATATTTTAATGAGCAATTACCGTTCGGGGTGTATAACGTAATGCCGACAATAAAAACTCGAAATTTGCAATTTCGACAGTCAAAATACCGACAAATCAAGAAAAGGTGGGGGATACACTTAAAATGTCGAAATTCAAAATGACACATCAAAATATCGACAAAATTTAAATATGCAGCTAAATCAAAATACCGACAAATCAAAACACCGACAAATCATACAGACTTCTTAAAAAAATTTTTGAAAAATATTTGCAAAATCAAGTTCTATGGCTGAAGACTTCTAAGAAGTTAAAGGCGAAAGAACTGATCACGTCCTGGTGTTGGTCCGACCAGGGTTATTTTTTTAACACGCGACCGAAGGCTGCCAAAGCTAAAAGGAGTTCAACGCGAAAGAACTAAGAACGCCCAGGTCTTGGTCAGACCAGGGCTGATCACGTCCAGGTGTTGATCCGTTGTGTATAATGAAATGCCGACAATCAAAATCTCGAATTTTAGAATCCCGACAATCACAATACCGATTTGTCGGATCATAACTCTTAGTCAGTGAATTCTCTTTCTGTTCTTCGATAGAAATAAGGGCAGACAAGATAAAATATTTTTCACATGTCGGCATTTTGGTTTGTCGGTGTTTTGATTTGTCAGTGTTTTGATTTGTCGGTATTTTGATTTAGCTGCATATTTAAATTTTGAACTTCGGTATTTTAAGTGTATCCCATTAAATAAAGTTTTTTTGTCGGTATTTTGACTGTCGGGATTCTAAAATTTGAGATTTTGATTGTCGGCATTACATTATACACCCGTAAAATATTTTTCACATGTCGGCATTTTGGTTTGTTGGCTTTTTCATTTGTCGAAATTTTGAATTAGCTGCATATTTAAATTTTGTCAATATTTTGATGTGTCTGCATTTTGAGCTTCGGTATTTTGAGTGTATCCCTGCCGTTCGTTATATGACTTTCTATATCTTCTCAGTTCTTGACTAAGTTATTGGCATTTACTTGAAACAGGTTTTGGATGTTATGGAAAACTCCTGTAAGAGTCTACTTTTACACTTTGGACATAATAATTTTGTTACGGAATTTGATTTACCAGACTCATATAAAAAAATAAAACGCGACCACTTGTAAGCATCGAGCAAAAAATATAAAGCTTTTGAAAAGTCCATAGAATGGGGATATAAGTTAAAAGCTTCTGGATTTTCATTCATTTCTGAAAAGAAATAGGGCACATCCTTTGCATCGCAAATTGTGGTCAAGTGTCTAGCAGTGTGTTTAGAAGAGGGACCAAAAATTCCACCAACACCATTCTGGAATAAAATAACACTTCAGTAAACGAGTATAAAAAGAATGATTCAACGTTTTAAGTTTACCTGTAATAGTTTGCATAATATGCTATAAGCTTGAAAGGAATCTCCATAATTCACCTCCTCTTTTATAACTTCAAGAGGTATTTTTATTTCGGCATTGGCTGCTTCAATTGCATGCTCAAAAATGAGGCCCATTTCTGTACTATACTGATCAGTAACTAAACCTAATAAAAAAAAAAAAAAATATAAATTATTTATAAACATATTATCTAACTAATGCGAAAATTAAAAGGAAACATAAACATTAACATTAAGCAAATGCCTAAGTTCGTGATATTTAACTTTTAATTGGTCATCCTACAGAGTAGTTAATATAAGCTAGTAAGGAAGACCTAAGCTCGGCTATAATTGAACATTTTATACCCTTACAACTTGCAAGGATTTAAGTCACGGAAATATCTTCCATTGTTGCAAAAATCTTAGAACGGCGTTCCGTTGCGGTACGATATTAACACAAATTATTAAAGGTTTTCATAAAGATATCTCACATACCATCACCATTGCATATGGATTAAACTGAACTGGATGTTTGAAAATCCATCCGATTCTATCCAATCAAATTTATTGAGATAACTCACATATTGGCCGATATATGTATGTGATATAAAGTCAATCGGAAGTTCTAAAATCTTTACATTTTATTTCTCTCTCGATTAGTTTTTGGTGTTACAAACAACCGTTAGCTGAACAAATCTATTATATTCTTTGGCAACATGCAACATGAGTATAAAAATAAATTATTCACCAGAGCGAGTATTAATGGTGCGCTATGTACATTTCATGCGCCTGAGTGCACTGTATGTAGGGAAAATCTTCCTTTGAAGATTTGTTATTCTCGTTTTTCTTATTATAATACTTACGATAAAAATTAGGATTTAAAAAAAAAATATGGAACGAAGTCCTGAACATGACTGCCAATCTCAAATTTAGAGAAATGTGCATATACGAATGTAATATAAAAGATAATTCAACTTAATAACTAAACACAACCTATTGTACAAATATTTACGCTCTCTATATAGTCTAAAAATAGTATAGATTTTATGTCATTGTTATTGTGATATATTTCAACTTTACCTATTTGTATTGCTTTAGATAAACTATATTTATCATTATCATATTCCTTTCTACTCCATATTTCGTACTGCGCTTTGGAAAACCAAAAATGTTTACTCAAAAATGCCAAAAGTAAATAAATGTTACGTTCTATAAACATCTTTTCTTTATTTTCACTTTTAAAACTATATGTATACGAAAAAGCGATCAGCTACACATGGCGAACTTGTGGCGACTGATTCTGAATTTGTCTTGTTGACTCCAAGAAAGATAGAAACCGAAATGAAAATTGTTTATAATTACAATAAAAGTTTTTCTGTTAGTTTCATGTATGACTTATCATATCGCAATCTTATATTCTATTACTCTGGGCAATCTTCATAAATCTGATGAATATCAAACTGATGAGCTTTTCTTCATGCCATCTTAAAAAGCTTTTCAAAGTCGTGAACCACATATTTAACTACATAAGTAGTTTCATAGAAATTAACCGAATGTAAGTGTGAGTGTTTTCGTCAAACTTCCTGAAGATCTTGAGTGCGATCGGTCAATTTGTATGGCAGCTATACGTGTGGTGTTCAAAAATAAAGAGAATTTCTGTTAAAAAAAAATATATGAATATATATTTATTTGCCAATTTTATTGTTGTCGCCTTTAAAATTGTCCCCATTCAATATTACGCGCTTACGACAGAGCGTCTTTCGAAAAACTTCTTAAATTCGATTTTGGAATTCCAGGTAGCTTTGTGCTATAGGCGTATCAGATCGATATCTCAGAAACTGGGAAACCGCAGTCTAGACGGACAAGGCTAAGTTCACTCAGCTGATCACGCTAATCATTTATCCTTTGATATTAATGCTTTAAAAGGTCTCTGACGTTGGGAGGAAGCAATATGGTCTTTTTAATTTCAAAAGTTTTACAACTTTATGATTTTGTAATTGATTTGAGAAATGTTTAACTCTAAACAATAATTTTATTTTTTATACATATTTCAACATTTCATTTACAGCATAAAATCAATACGGTGTTTGCTCATTTTACTATATCTTTCATTTATTTCTTCTGGTTCCACAGTAATGTTCTAGTTTATGTTGAGGAGTGCTAAGCCGTTCAATCTTTTCTGGAGCATCGTTGGTATGAGCCAAGTCTTGATTCGGTGCAAAGAAGAAAAGGATCGTTTAGCGCTAGCATTTGTGGCTGGCAAAGTGCAGGGTATACGGATATATGTACATATATTCTTATCTGAGGGTGCTGAGGGTTTCTAAGGCAAAAAGCATGCGTGCTGTCGTAGCAAAAAGCGCTACTTCAGCTTTGAGCATCGTGCTTTGCAGTTCTTTGTTTCCGGGCAAGATTTTCCCAAAACGTCTAACTAGGCATTGAATGACTACAGTTAAATCGTTTTCTTCCAAATTTTGGTTACATTTTGGTAACAGCTGACTCAAATTGAAACTTTCAAGAACTTCATCGGAAAACCGCGTTTTTAAATCTTGCATGACTGTGTCAATGAGTGGAATGTATGCAGAAAAACTGTAAAAGTTGAGATAGGTGATTGTTTCGATGACTCTGACGACCGTATGTTGTGGGTTTTTTTCACTTCAACATCTAATTTTCAGCCTTCTGTGTAGCATTTGAAAACAAGTTTTTAAGGTGATGATCATGCATTCTTCGTGTGTTAAGTGTTGCAACCAATGTTGTTATGACGTTTGATGCTTTTGTAAGGTCGATTGATTCGTTCTGTAGAATCACGCTAATTGGCTGCGTCAGTGACAAAACATCAGTAAGACAGAACATTCCATTAAAAATAAATTCGAAGTTGCGCAGTACGGTGCACTAAAATTCGACGCTTTTACTACAGACGTTCTATTCTTCCATTCGCTTATATTTGGCAGTACTTGGCCGATTTCTAGAAGGGTGACTGTGAATTGAAGAACGGCATCATGTCACCACATGTATCATCATGTACCCACTTTGTGTCACATAGCTGCACAATTTTTTGCTCAAGAATCGAGCTGAAACAGTATTACGTTTCGGTCTTGAAACTTGGAAAAATGTTGTAACTTGTAACACTGTGGAACATTTTTGGGATTATTGTTTGGGGGGTGAGAAATTCCAAGTCAGGGTGATGGTACTAGGTCAGTATAAGAAAAAAACAAGTAAGGAAGGGCTAAGTTCGGGTGTCACCGAACATTTTATACTCTCGCATGATAAAGTGATAATCGAGATTTCAGGCGTGGTTGTGAACCGATTTCACCCATATTTGGTACATGTCATCAGGGTGTTAAGAAAATATTATATACCGAGTACTTCTTGAGATATGGTTTTTGGTCCATAAGTGGGCGACGCCACGCCCATTTTAAATTAAAAAAAAAGCCTGGATGCAGCTTCCTTCTGACATTTCTTCCGTTTCTGACTTTTGTGTTAGTCGGCTAACGCACTTTTAGTGGTTTTCAACATAACCTTTGTATGGGAGGTGGGCGTGGTTATTATCCGGCCTGTCTTACACATCTAGATGTGTATAAGAGACAGACTCTATACAGTTTGGTTGACATAGCTATAGTAGTTTTCGATATATGTACAAAAAAGTTAGTAGGGGGCGGAGCCACGCCCACTTTTCTAAAAAAAATTACGTCCAAATATGCCCCTTCCTAATGCGATCCTTTGTGCCAAATTTCATTTTAATATCTTTATTTATGGCTTAGTTATGACACTTTATAGGTTTTCGGTTTCCGCCATTTTGTGGAGTGGCAGTGGGCCGATTTTGCCCATCTTTGAACTTAACCTTCTTATGGAGCCAAGAAATACGTGTACCAAGTTTCATCATGATATCTCAATTTTTACTCAAGTTACAGCTTGCACGGACAGACGGACGGACGGACAGACAAACATCCGGATTTCAACTCTACTCGTCACCCTGATCACTTTGGTATATATAACCCTATATCTGACTCTTTTAGTTTTAGGACTTACAAACAACCGTTATGTGAACAAAACTATAATACTCTCTTTAGCAACTTTGTTGCGAGAGTATAAAAAACCAAAAAAAAAGAACGATGCTTTCCCAACAAGCCTTCTATTACTTCTTTGATTGCCTGCCATGCATTCAATTCAGCGTCAATCAAAATATTGTTGAATGCGTCACTTTTAATCAGCTTTCGTATATCTGGACCATTTAGTACGCCAAAACTTTTGAGGGTTTTATTATATTGACCTAGTACCATCACTCTGATT